GGCTGCTGGAGAGCAGCAGCCCCTGCCTGCGGGCGGGAGGGGGACAGCTCCCCACTGGGACCCCCACGGACAGGGGCTGCTGCCAGAGGAGCCTGTGCCCATGTTGAACTTTGGCCCGCTGTGGGCAGCAGGGGGGAGCAGGCGACACCGTGGAGATGGTGCTGGGGGGGAAACCAGCTTTTTAAGCCAACTCCCCCCCCAGCACTGGCTCCTGTTTCTGCCCTTCTCCCTGCCCGTCAGCTGAGCTCCCTGCCTGCGCAGGAGCTTTGAACCTCTGAGCAGAACTCAGCAAACAGCTGTGCAGCCACACAGCTTACGGGCAACTTAGGTGTAGATGTGCACCCCCAGTAGGAACATGCGGGCTGTGGGCGCTCAGCTAATCAGCTGGGTGTCATTTGAATCTCTCCTGGGAGGTTGCCCAAATGCACAGCTTACAGGCAACACTGACCTTGAGAGAGGTGTTTTGTGCAGCCTCACCAGCTGAAACCCCACTGTAACTGTTGTTCCTGTCTGCACCCTACCCTTTCTGATTTGCAAGCAGGTCGAAGAGCAAGAGACAAATAAATCAGAACCAGAGTACGATGAGGACGAGTTAGACGACTTGCCCAAGAAGCGGACGCACTGGCAAGGGATGATCTCCCGCAAGGCCAGCCAGACCAGCGTCTACCTCCAGGAGTGGGACATTCCCTTTGAACAGATTGAGTTGGGGGAGCCCATCGGCCAAGGGCGATGGGGGAAGGTTTACCGGGGCAAGTGGCACGGAGAGGTGGCCATCAGGCTGTTGCAGATCGATGGGAACAACCAGGACCATCTCAAACTCTTTAAGAAGGAGGTGATGAATTACAGGCAGACCCGGCATGAGAACGTGGTGCTCTTCATGGGGGCTTGCATGCACCCCCCTCATTTAGCCATTATTACCAGGTAAGGACCAGTGTTCCCTCTAACATTTTTCCATCCATGTGTGGAATACATTTTGTTATATGCACCAAGGCTTGTAGGATGCACACCACCAATAGAAACACAGGATGTTGGCTGTGGGCACTCTGCTCATCAGCAGGGTGGCACCTGAATTTCTCCTAGGTGGCCACCCAAGCGCTCCGCTTCCACGGAACGCTGGTGAGAATGTAGCATTTCACTGCAGAGCTGCCATGATTTTCACAGGACTCTACATCTGCTTTCTGATCTGCAGTGAATGGGTCAGGCTCTGGTTTGGGAGCGATGGAGACAAATATCTCTCCACAAACAGCTAAAGTAAGAGCAGTAGCGTCCAACTCCCTGCCAAACTGACCCCACCACATATGGTGAGGTCTGGGGTTTGTCCACGCTAGTCACTCTTTGCCGTCCAGCTGACCGAAAGGGGTAGTGCGCCAAGTACTATGCAAAGAAGGTCAGGCCTTCTGGGTTTGGAAAACAAGAAGGCTACGTCTACACTGGCCCCTTTTCCGGAAGGGGCATGTTAATTTCAGCTATCGTAGTAGGGAAATCCGCGGGGGATTTAAATATCCCCCGCGGCATTTAAATAAAAATGTCCGCCGCTTTTTTCCGGCTTTTAGAAAAGCCGGAAAAGAGCGTCTACACTGGCCCCGATCCTCAATCCCCGATCCTTATTCCTACTTCAAAGTAGGAATAAGAGCCTCCGGAAAAGGGCGCTTTTTCCGGAGGATCGGGGCCAGTGTAGACGCTCTTTTCCGGCTTTTCTAAAAGCCGGAAAAAAGCGGCGGACATTTTTATTTAAATGCCACGGGGGATATTTAAATCCCCCGCGGATTTCCCTACTACGATAGCTGAAATTAACATGCCCCTTCCGGAAAAGGGGCCAGTGTAGACGAGCCCGAAGTGTGCAGGGTCCCCCGCCCTCCGTCCTGGGAGCGCATTCTTGAGAACAGAGAAGCGTTCCAAGAATCTGTATATTGACCTAATCCGTTGATTGCAAAATCACATGAGCCGTCCTTTTGGTTCCTCTTCTAATCAAATGTAGGGAAGACCGTTGGCAAAGGGAGAAACAGAAAAAGAAATTTACCTTCCCTCCCCCGTGATTTTTAGTGGTGTGTGTGTCTGTGTGTGTGTGTCTTCAGTCCATGCTCAGTGTAGCCTGAGGCCAAGTCTACCGTGTCGCTTTATTGCACTGTAACGTTCTGGCTTGGGTGTTAGCTCTTCCCCACTCCTCTCCCTCCCCCCCACAGAAGGTTACAGTGCTGCAAAGCGCCAGTGTAAACAGGCTACAGCACTGTTAGCTACTCCCCTCACCTAGGTGGCCGGGAGAGCTCTCTCCCAGCACTCCTGCTGCGGCCACGCTTTCAGTTTAAAGCGCTGCCGCGACTGCACTTAAACCTGTCAAGTATTGACAAAGCCTCAATTTTCATTGACACTGCTCCAGAAGTTGCCAAGAGGCCTGAAAGTGACTGTAAGTGCCCACTGCCAAAGCAGTGTAAAGAAGTCTCTTACAGCCGGTCCCCGAGTTACGGACCAAACACTTGGCCATAATTCGAAATGTTCGTAAGTCGGACCCATTGAGTTACATTGCGACCGCACTGTTCGTAAGCACGGGTCGCGTTCGTAACTCGGGGACTGCCTTTACGACCGCTTCATGGGAGGTTTGGTCATAAATGCGAATGGTCGTAAATTGACCATTCGTAACTCTGGGACCGGCTGTATACGTGTTGGGCCCAACATTTACATTTTCTGAATACTGCCTTTGGTGGGGGAAGGTCCTGTGTTATAAAACCGTGCCATCAACGTCATACGAAACTGACAGGTCGTGCACTCTATTTTTTTCCCTGAGGGAAGTAAGGGTGAATGTTTAGGAACTTGCATTTTTTACCTCATTGTCTCGTCTCTTTCCCCCTCCCCCCCTTTCTTTGTAGTTTTTGCAAAGGAAGGACGCTTTATTCGTTTGTAAGGGATCCCAAGGTATCCTTGGATATTAACAAAACCAGGCAGATAGCTCAAGAAATCATTAAGGTAAGTGGGAACACTGGGCCAATGGCAGAGGTGTCTTTCTTTTTATTTTGCTGGTTGCAGAATTAAAGCTTTCTGGTGACTCTTGAATGGGGCGACATTTGCAGTGAAATTCCAAATCAACGCAAGCTGCTGTTTGAGTGGGAGGGAGGCAGGGCAGACACTCCGCTAATGTAAATGCTCATAGCTCCATTGAAGCTCATTGCTGTCGAGGAAGCTATGGGATTTATCCGTTTTTTGAAATTAGGACAAGTTGTGTCAGTGCAAGTCACAGCCAGTAGCACCTTACCCTGGACTACTCTCTGTTTCTGCAGAAAGTAGCTCCACTAGTGGGTGTAACCGGACCAAATCTCTGGTGCACATGAAGTCTATGATAAGAATTCTGCTACAGTAAGGGGAAGAAACTTTTTGAATGTCCAAGCACAGCCTCATTTAGCCTTGCAAGGGGCACCATTGATATGCTAATGTTCAAGACGCAGTTGTACTAGTGGATAACCTTGCTGCAGTATTTAGGCCTGTCGACCGGGGAGGGGACAAAGGGGACAACTACCTTCCAGGCCTGATGATTCTAAAGGGTCCAGGACTCCTGGCTCCCACTGCTACCGTGGCAGCGGCAGTGCCTGGAGGCCTAGGACCTTTGAATTGCCATTGGAGGGCTGAGTGGCACAAACTGGGTGGCTCTAAGGGCTGGGGGGGGCACAACATGGTGCACTCTGGAGGGCAGCCCCGCCCCTTCTATGCAAGCCCTGCCCCTTCTACCCAAGCCTCGCCCCTTCTGAGTGTGCAGCTCTGCTCTCCCTACTCTCCGTCCTGCCCAGGGTCCCAGTGTAGCTCTCCTGCCGGTATTTTAAATACAATGCTGTGTTGAAGATTGTGCTAGAAACTTCTCTGTTTGGAGTGCAGATCACCAAAGCTAGTGCTGTGTTTCTTCGCTTATCTGGGCTTTTCCGTGCTGCTGAAATCTGGACAAATCTTCCTTCCTGCTTCATATGAGTTAATCGTTATAAGGCATGCCAAATGCAAAGCTCTCCCTTGGCATTCCCTGGAGCTGAGTTTACTGGCCGCTTCACCTGAAATGCAGAGCGGTCGCTCAAGCATAGTAACTACTTTTCTCTTGGGCGGAAGATTCTTCCAGTTGAAAGGTCCCAATTTTTATGGGATCCTAGAGGTTGAAAAGATGTATTGCTTTCCCGTGCTTGAGCGCTCTGAGCAAAAGCATTAGTAGCATAATTTTTACTAAGTTTTTTTTAGATTTAATTTGTTTGTGATTGTTAACAAAAGTATAATTGCATTTTAGAAGCATAGATGTTAACAACCACTACTTTCTTTTACCAGAATATAAAAGAAAAACAAATTAAATGAAAAACTAATTTTAAAAAATAGGTGTATATAATTACTTTGAGGGTATTAAACTTTCAGTATACTTTGTTGTATTTGGGAGTCCAAGGTGGCAACCCGTGGAAAAGGTTTGGTTAGCTTTATGCATAAATGGTTATTTTTAAACATTATTACTATGCCATTCTTACAGTTTTTAAAATAAAGTGAAAACAAGTTTATAGAAAGGCAAACAAAAAGTCGAGACTTGGTTAATATTACCTTAACTTTAATATTGAGATCCTTCTATTTTTTCTTTGAATTAAAATTGTGATTAATAAATTAAAACAAATGTTAGATTTATGCATATCTATAACTGAGATCTTTATGAACTTGGCAAAAATTTGGTATTCATAATTCTCCACCCCAACTATAATATTAAAATACTGTGGTACCACGTTTTTTAAAAGGGTATAAAATTGATATTTGTTGCAACGAAATTAAAAAAATAGTGAAATGACACACGACATACTACAAAGAACAACACACACATCATGCAGGATAAACTTACAATTAAAAACAAATGGTGCCAAAATTCTATTCATTTCCATATAAAATAAAGGCATTAAAATAAAAAATAAACAAAAGGGTTAAACATTTAAATCAGCAAGTTATTACCTTTTATTTAAAACTTGTAATAAAAACAATAACATTTATATCAATATGTGCCATGTTAATTTAGTAATTTATAGCATTTTCCACTACTTTATAGCACAGTTTTAAAATAAAGTATAATATATTGAAATAACAGCCCATGTTTCAAATATTAGTCAGTGGTTAGGATTAGAAGCAGAATCTGCATTTCTGATCCTTGGTAACCATATCTTCAGGACAGTTTGGAGTAATTCCAGCTGTTGCATTCCTGGATTAAAGTAAAATTTGTACCTTGTTTTCCTCTTATTTTGTCCTGTCCTTTAATTGCTTTATCATTTGGAGGTTTCTGTAAAACTTCAGTTCTCTCTGTATGTTAAAAGTTAAAAGAGAGAGGTGGGGCGGGGGGGAGGAGGGGAGTGTGTGTACATGAAGAGCAACTTAGGAAGATAGGGAGACCTGTGCCAAGAGAAATTAACTCTTGCAGTGGTCTTAAAGTACAGGCAGCAGCTGCAGCAAACTTAGCAAGCTAAGAGAGGCTTTAAAGGAAAACATACCAGTATGTAACAATGTTTGAGAAAGAAGGGTTTGGGGTAACTCCTTGTGTTAATGCATCAATTCTTGTTAACCTGATTAATCTTGGTTTTTCACTTTGAAATTCTTTTTTTAATCACTTCCCTGCTGGTTTACCAGATCCGTGGTGGGGGCCACCACTCTCCCACTGTTTTTGTCAGAAGTAATCGGTGTGCTGTCCTGCCAGGTCTCTTGCTTTATCCAGTGCTAACTATTCGGCTGCATGCGTATGCTCCATCTATATTACATCAGCTCTGCACAGATAGCAAGTATAGTAAACTCCAACACATGGTCTATACTAGACCAGCCAGGTCCGCTTAAGGTATGCAACTCCAGTGTGGCAAAATGTGTAGCTGAAGTCAGCTTATCTCAAGCAGAGCCATGGCAGCGTCCACACAGCAGGTGGCCAGCGTGCTCCCATAGGCTTCCCTTACCTTGTCCCGTATCTCTCAGAACAAGGAGTACCAGATGCCAGCAAGGACTGCCCTCAGTGTTCGATTTAGTGGGTCTACATTAGACCCCCTAAATCAAATGCTAAAAGATTAAGAGGGTCGATCTTCTCACAAGTATAGACATGCCCCAAGAGAGCAGCCAAAGACCACAAAATCAGATAAGGATCGAAGACGGCGGGCCAGGTTTATTGTAAACGAAGCACGGTCCTAGCTTCCCCGGATCGGATATCTACAGTTAGGCTAACCCATTACAATGGGCTTGACTCAGGTCGGACAAAGACAGTTTCCTTGGGGTACATTTTTACACATAGGTACAAACACGTTACACATCACTCCTGACATATTAGGTAGCCACCCTCTGATGTTACCTGGATACCACCTATTACCTTGTACGGGGGAGTTCGATTACCATCTATCATGCTGTCAGTGTAGACCCTGTCTTGAACCTGGGTCGGTATGTCCCTGTTATCTGTGGGGTGTGTTGGTACCAAGACGTTTCTTCATGAGGTGTTGTTACCAACTTTCTGGAACGTGCGTCCAGCTTGTGCCTGGCACCTGTTAGTGTTTTATACCATTTAACCCTGTGGGTTCCAGAGTCCGTTAGCAGGGCCTGCCTCTCACTCACAGCTTCACTTTGCTTTGTATTCGCAAAGCCTTGACCATTGTGCCTAGGCCTCAGGCCTCACACCAGGCCAGTCATACTTGGTGTTAGGCCACAGACCCTCCTCTTATTACAGCAGCGATCCCCCAGACTTGGGTTCATGAGGCTCATGCTGCCTCCCACACTAAAAACAGCTGCGTGCGCAGCGCTTTTTACTGTGCGGCCCGGGCTGGCACCTAGCGAGGGGAGTCATTTTCTTTCCAGCTATTTTTAGTGCCATAGCACAAACACAAATCTGTCAACCCAGTGACTCACTGTATAGACGTACCCAATGATGCATCAGGCTGGATTACATAAGAACGGCCATACTGGGTCAGACCACAGGTCCGTCGAGCCCAGTGTCCTGTCTGCTGACAGTGGCCAATGCCGGATGCCCCAGAGGGAGTGAACAGAACAGTGAATCATCAAGTGATCCCTCTCCTGTCATCCATTTCCAGCCTCTGATAAACAGAGGCTAGGGACACCATTCCTACCCATCCTGGCTAATGACAATTGATGGGCCTAACTTTCATGAATCTATCAAGCTCTTTTTTTGAACCTAGTTAAGGCCCTGGTCTTCACAACATCCTCTGGCAAGGAGTTCCACAGGTTGACAGTGCACTGCATGAAGGAAAACTTTCTTTTGTTTGTTTTAATCCTGCTGCCTATTTATTTCATTTGGTAACCCCTAGTTCATACGTTATGAGAACAAGTAAATAACTTTTCCTTACTCACTTTCTCCACACCTGTCATGATTTTCTAGACCTCTTGCATATCCCCTTAGTCTCTTTTCTAAGCTGAAAAGTCCCAGTCTTGGGCCAGTGAGCTGGGCATTTGACACCCCTGTTCTCCTTTCTGCGGCTGAAGCCCGAGAGGCCACTGCTGTTCCATTTCCTTGTGCATGAAGGATGCTTGCTTTGTAACTGCTTTGTGTCCGCCTGGGCTCGGGGAGCCAGCCCGCTGGCGTCTGGTTCCTGACGAAAGCTGGGTGATGAATACACGTAGGCAGCTGCCCTTGTCAGTAAATGACCCAGATGTTCTTTCCCCAGCATGCAGCAGACAGTGCCTCATTGGAGAGGGAAGTTTCAGTCCTTGTGCTACAGCAGCCTACCAATATGTCACGGCAGGAGCTTTGGCAGGAAAATGGACTGGTTTTCAGAACAAAGGAGGAGTCTGCACACACTGGAAATCTCTTCTTGTCCCATCCCTGTCGCTCTTCTTCCCCCACTAGCCTGGTGATCTTCATTCTTTCCCCTGCCCCTGTAGGGTAACAAGATTATCAAAGCACAGAACTGGAAGCCCCAGCAGGGCTGAGATGTGAAGGAGAGGAAAGGGCTCTGGGAGTTGGGGGGGGGATAATAGATCAGCCCTACCTCACAGGAGTGGGCTGAGGTAAATCTGTTAAAGAATGCCAGGCTCAAGCCGGTCCTATGGAAGGTGGAGCAGTGTATGGTAGGGTTACATCCATGTGCATTGATCTTTTCCAGGGCATGGGGTATCTTCATGCCAAGGGGATTGTGCATAAAGATTTGAAGTCCAAGAATGTCTTCTATGACAACGGCAAAGTGGTGATCACAGATTTTGGACTCTTTGGCATTTCCGGTGTGGTTCAGGAGGGAAGGTAAGTTCAGGATTAACCCGTTTCTAACCCGTTTCTGAAAACAGAAACAGTGACCAAGTAGCCGAGGCACCAGATTGTGATCTCCGTTACACCAGAGTAAATCAGGGGAAACGATTGGATTGAAAAGATAGACACCTGACTTGAGACACACAGGTTTGAAAAGTGGGTTTTCTTTGTCCCTATGGGTGTCTCTGTTGTGCTAAGGCATTCTGGCAGAATAAAGGTGTCTTAAAGCTGAAGAAAATGGTCCCCTGGAAATACCCATGCACTGACACCCTTCCAGCATGGTGTAGAGCAGACAAAAGGCTCTGTGCCTGCCGTGTCCCTAACCCCCCATGTTAGGGGTGAATGGGGCATGTATGGTCAGAGTTCATTACACTACAGCCATTCTCTGCTTCCCAGGGCCTACGGGTGACCATGGGCATGAGAAAAAGGTAGAGCAACCTGGAGACTTCAGTATATTTAGACTTTAGTAAGGCATTTGATGCTGCCTCGCATGACCTTCTTATCAATAAACTGCGTAAATGCAACCTAGATGGGGCTACTGTAAGGTGGGTGCATAACTGGATGGATAACCATTCTCAGAGAGTAGCTATTAACAGTTCACAATCCTGCTGGAAGGGCATAACAGGTGGGTTTCCGCAGGGGTCTGTTTTGGGACCAGGTCTCTTCAATATCTTCATCAGTGATTTAGATGATAACATAGAGAGTACGCTTATTAAGTTTGTAGATGACACCATGCTGGGAGGGGTTGCAAGTGTTTTGGAGGATAGGGTCAAAATTCAAAATGATCTGGACAAACTAGAGAAATGGTCTGAGGTAAACAGGATGCAGTTTAATAAGGACAAATGCAAAATACTCCACTTAGGAAGGTACAATCCTTTTCACACATACAGAATGGGAAGCAACTGTCTAGGAGAGAGTACTGCAGAAAGGGATCTAGGGGTCGTAGTGGACCACAAGCTAAATATGAGTCAGCAGTGTGACACTGTTGCAAAAAGAGCAAACATGATTCTGGGATGCATTAACAGGACTTTTGTGAGCAAGACACAAGAAGTCATTCTTCCGCTCTGCTCTGCACTGATTAGGCCTCAGTTGAAGGATTGTGTCCAGTTCTGGGCATCACATTTCAAGAAAGATGTGGAGAAATCAGAGAAGGTCCAGAGAAGAGCAACAAGAATGATTAAAGGTCTAGACAACAGGAGCTATGAGGGAAGACTGAAAGAACTGGGCTTGTTTAGTTTAGAAAAGAGAAGACTGAGAGGGGACATGCTAGCAGTTTTCAAGTATCTAAAAGGGTTTTACAAGCAAGAGGGGAAAAAATTGTTCTCCTTGGCCTGATGATAGGATGAGAAGCAATGGGCTTAAACTGCAGCAAGAGAGATTTAGATTGGACGTTAGGAAAAACTTCCTAACAGTCAGGGTGGTTAAACACTGGAATAAATTGTCTAGGAGGGTTGTGGAATCTCCATCACTGGAGATATTTAAGAGCAGGTTGGACAGACATCTGTTAGGGACGATCTAGACAGTGCTTGGTCCTGCCATGATGGCAGGGGACTAGACTCGATGACCTCTCAAGGTCTCTTCTAGTTCTAACAAAAAACAGGACTATGTAGCACTTTAAAGACTAAAGTGCTACATAGTCCTGTTTTTTGTTTCAGCTAGACTAGACTAACACGGCTACATCTCTGTTACTCTTCCAGTTCTATGATTCTAAGTTACATCAGGGGCTGAGCAGGCCCCTGTGCAGCCTCATAACACGAGGAGCAAGTGCAGGAATGGAGCCACTGAGAATCAGGCCCAGTATATTTATATGGTGAAAAATAAAACTCGGATGAAATTCTCAATGTCAAAGGCTTGAGCCAGCAAAAAACCAGCTTTCTAGGGAGAGTTCCTGCCGTTAGCTGCGCATTCCCAGTTACAGCCTGTGGAAGGGATTATCTGATCTCTCGCCCTCCTTGCACTCAGGCGTGAGAATGAACTGAAGCTGCCTCATGACTGGCTGTGCTATTTGGCCCCTGAAATTGTTCGTGAGATGTCTCCTGGGAAAGACGAAGACAAGCTGCCCTTCTCCAAAGCTGCCGACGTCTATGCGTTTGGGTAAGAGCACGAGCCATTGGTAAATTTGTGTGGTTGCCTGAATCCATTAAATTATGCCCTGTCCAAAGTGAAGAGACAGAGCCGCCTTTGTGGCATGGGTTTTGGCTTGGGCCTGAAGCCCACAGAGCTCAAAGATGGTGGGTTTTATTCCTATGTGATATTGGTCCTGTCCCATAATAGAGCGGTGCCTTGGCCATCCCATGTGTTAAAACAGGGATGCATGAACTCTGCCTTCCTTACAGGGGGGTATGAGGCTTAATTTATGTCCCCGTGTTTCAGGACGGTTTGGTATGAGCTCCAAGCAAGAGAGTGGCCTTTCAAGAGCCAGCCGGCCGAAGCGCTCATCTGGCAGATTGGAAGCGGCGAAGGAGTGAAGTCAGCGTAAGTGGCAGCCCTTTCAAAGGGCCCATTGGTCAGGGATGGCGTATAGCTCTGGAGAGGAGATGGGATTTTTAGAGATGCATTTACTTGCAGCGTCAATCAGATTGCGAAGGAAAAGTCAATAGTATCTTACCAGCTACTTTGCCCCGGTCCAGATATATAAACACTCGGGCACCACGTCGCATTCTTAATAATATTTGTGATGCAGTAGCATCAAGGAACTCGGGTCATGGACCAGAGCTTCATTGTGCTGGGCATTGTACCCCCATTGTGTGCCCAATCTGCAACCACTCTTCTCCCCCGTAGGAAAACCACACAGGTTCCACGGGACCCAGGGCTGTGAGGGATGAACTGAACCGGATACAAAAGCTGTGCCGTCTGACACGATCATTTCCCTGCAAGCAGAAGAATCTGGGGACAGTTCTGTTTAGTACACCTCTACAGAGAAAGGGCAAGGCTTAGGGAACTCTGGGGTACAATCCTGACCTCAAACCCAAAACAAAATGGAGCTTTGCTATTGACTTTTACAAGACCAGGATTACACCCAATGAGCCAAGCACCCAGTTCCTTCTCTGTTCAGTGGTTGGGGCAAGGGAGTGACTCTGCAGTGAGAACGGCAGCTTGACTGGGACTTCTTTGGGGCAGGCTCCTCCCTTCAGCTCTGCGGGTATGTCTACACTACCCCGCTAGTTCGAACTAGCGGGGTAGTGTAGACATACCCGCAGAGCTGAAGGGAGGAGCCTGCCCCAAAGAAGTCCCAGTCAAGCTGCCGTTCTCACTGCAGAGTCACTCCCTTGCCCCAACCACTGAACAGAGAAGGAACTGGGTGCTTGGCTCATTGGGTGTAATCCTGGTCTTGTAAAAGTCAATAGCAAAGCTCCATTTTGTTTTGGGTTTGAGGTCAGGATTGTACCCCAGAGTTCCCTAAGCCTTGCCCTTTCTCTGTAGAGGTGTACTAAACAGAACTGTCCCCAGATTCTTCTGCTTGCAGGGAAATGATCGTGTCAGACGGCACAGCTTTTGTATCCGGTTCAGTTCATCCCTCACAGCCCTGGGTCCCGTGGAACCTGTGTGGTTTTCCTACGGGGGAGAAGAGTGGTTGCAGATTGGGCACACAATGGGTGTCCAGCTCTGCACAGGCTCGGTCAGAGTCCCAAGGGCCAGCTTCTCCTAGGACAGTGCAGCTGGGATTTCCACAGGAGCCAGAGGAGAAGGCCCAGCCTGGTCATTAAGTGGGGATTTCTCTCATCCTGTGGCTGCATGGCCTGGGGCTGGAGCTCTTTTTGTGGAGAACCTTCCGGGTTGCTCAGTATGCTGTCCACAAGCTGGGGTAGCTCCATGGAGTTTCACCCACACATGTTCAGGTGTCGCACGGATGTGTGTAGGCGGGAGGTGAGGTGGATGAATTCCATTCATCTTGTAGAAGTCCATCGGTTCTGTACTGGTTAGCCTGTTGCCAGGGTTGTTTGAAGCCTGTCCCCTTTGTTTATAGGCTGCCCCTTGTCCCGACTCACTGTTGTGGAATAAACAGCAAAGTCCAGATTTTCTGGTGGCTTTGGGCACTCAACTTGAGAGACTCCAAAGGCGCTATGTGTTCTCTGAACATCAGGCTCCTCCCAAGTGTCTCAAAAGTTGAGTGCCCCAAAACCAGAAGCCCCCGAAATCCCTCGTCCCTTGGCCCAAGTCTCACTGACCTGGTGAGCTAAATCAGATGATAATGACGCCATTCCAAATGTCCTCCTTAGGAAATCCTCTCTGCATGTTGGTCTTTTGACCTCAGTGAGAGACCCAGCTTTACTCTTCTCGTGGATATGCTTGAAAAACTGCCAAAACTGAACCGGCGGCTGTCACATCCCGGACACTTCTGGAAATCTGCAGAGTGAGTATCTCCTACTTACTTCCTTAGGCATGAGGTTGGACATATAATGTACTTTTTTCCCTCTGTCTCTCTTCTGTATAATGCTGTAATAACTGGGTTACATTTATTTGATATTCACTGACTCTTACCCCTTGCCCAACCTAAAATAATTAATCCAGTTTTTTTAAAATGTCTTCATTGATTCCTCCCACACATTTCCCCCCTCCGCTCTCCCCCAGGAAGAGTTATTCTAGTGTTTGCCAGGTTTTTTCACCTTAGTTTTAAATCCGCTTCTGAGGCAGGGTTGGTGGAAAGTGGTGGAAATACCCTTGAGAGGTTTGAGGGAGGTGCCATCTTGTCCTGAAAAGTGGCCGTTAGTGGCTTCGAAAGGGGGCGTGGCAAAGGAATGTGCTGGAATACACTCTGGGGATTGGCCTATGGGATTATAGCTGTAATCTAAAAGAGGATAACAGGCACAAGTCTCTGAAGTTAATGACAGGGATAGATCAGAATCTGACATGAAATTCACCTTGGTGTGGAAAGAATAGTATGAAACCTGTTGTACCACAGGCCCTGAGCATTTAACCTCTGGCTCATGCATAGCCACTAATTCAGAGGGACATGGTTTCTGTGCATGCAGAATCAGAAACTAATGGGATTTTTTCCATTGACTTCAGTGGGAGTAGAGTTGAATCAACACTGAAAAAAGGGGGGCCTGATTTCATCTCTTACCAGTTTAATGGCCATGTAATTCCATCGGCACTGATTACATGACTAGTTTGAGGAAGGGCTACTCAGAAGAATAAAGATTTGCAGAACTGGACCTTTTTGCATCTACTCAAGAAAGTTTCCTGCTCTCAAATCTCTTTCTTTCCATTGAAGTCAATGGAATTTATACCCAGGCTTTAAAATTAAGCACATACCTTGTACACTTTTCTGAGTAGATGAAATACACAGGCCCAGCATGCTGGGGGAGAATTCGAGCATTAAGGAATATTTTTGTTCATTGTTACATTTTCATGCACAGAAATTCTAATATTTATTTTCTCTCCTTTTTTCCCCATGGTTTACTCATCTTCTTTCCCATCTCTTATCCCCTCTCTTATCCTCCTGCGGTATCTTGCCATAACTCCTCGAATGCTCCTCCTTTTCTGTATTGCAATTGCCACTGCATTTCCTTTTCGAACTTCATCAATTTCCCTATGCATAATCTTCCTGTCTAACATGCTATGGAATTCTAAATACTTTGAATTCATTCTGAAATGCTTCCTCCAAGACCCTGGGATCATGAGTATACAAAAAGACATTACTGTCAGCAGAGATTGAATATTTACTGTCCAGTCATTGATGAATAGAGCTTTCTGATATTTTTTCCTCTCCGCATCAATCTCTGCTTTAATGCGTAAAGCGCCACAAATCCTTTTTACTTGTTCTATTGTAGTAATTTGTCTAAAGTGATAACACAAATGCTCTTAAAAAGAACAAGTGTCAAGTGTATCACTGGTTTAGGCAAACCATGCACAATGGTGCACTGCTGGGAAAGCAAAGTATCTTCTTTGCATTCTGAATGCTACAATTTAAAGCAGGGAGCTTCAACTGTAGTCCTTGCTATTGTTGATTGAGCTCCAACCTTTAAGAAATTTTGATCATAGGCTCTTGATTGAATATAAATTTTCAAAGGTTGGGGGCTTTGGTTTTATACATATTTGAAAATGATGTTAAGCTATAACTTGTAAGCACGTGGATTGCATGTAATTACTGCTGCTTTTCCTTTCTGTGCTTCTGTTATAAGAGAACTGGCCTGTTTTCCTGTGGTTCTCTTCCTTCCCCTTTCTCCCCCACACTTCCCTCTTTCTAATGAATTGTTTATCGTAGAAATTCCTTTTTCATTGAGTTATCAAACTTAGACAGTAAAAGGTGGACTCGGTCCTCGTTTGGGCGTAGAACTCCCAGTGAACTGGGAATTCCACATTCGGAAAAGTTACAGGATGAAGTCAGTAACTGAGGCGAAACAGTAGAGATGAATCTATCCCCTTGGGTCTAATCTCTTGAGATATGATTAACCATAACAAAGAACTTGTAGGATGTCTACTCTGTCTGAACATCCCCACTTAACTTATAAAGTGCACCTTAATATATTTTATGGCTAAAAGATGCAAAGTTCATCAGTAGCTTTTTTGCAGGTAGGGATTTGGGGCCTAATTAAGATCTTTTTTAGATGTATAGAGATGCAGATACCTAGTGAGATTTTTAAAAGCTCCCATTGGGCCCTTTAACTGAATGGCTTTTCTGTACATATTGAGGTATTTTTAAATCCTTTGGAGAGATGATGGACAGCCCTGGAAAATGAAGCCCTCTAGTTAGTCCCAGCCTACCAGTAGCATGCATGTTCCTCAGTGCATCTCATCTCTGTTTGATGGGGTTGGAGACCCTGCCACCGTATTTCAATTTGCCAGAAAGGATGTCCCTGAATTGCAAATGCAACTGGACACTGCCCACTCAGGATTGCCCATGAAGTCACAAAGGTCAGCCATGGGCTTGTTTAGTCTGCAGAAGAGAAGAGTGAGGGGGGATTTGATAGCAGCTTTCAGCTTCCTGAAGGGAGATTCCAAAGAGGACGGAGAGAGGCTGTTCTCAGAAGTGACAGATGGCAGAACAAGGAGCAATGGTCTCAAGTTACAGTGGGGGAGGTCTAGGTTGGACATAAGGAAAAACTATTTCCCTAGGAGGGTGGTGAAGCACTGGAATGGGTTACCTAGGGAGGGGTGGAATCTCCATCCCTAGAGGTTTTTAAGTCTCAGCTTGACAAAGCCCTGGCTGGGATGATTTAGATGGGATTGGTCCAGCTTTGGGCAGGGGGCTGAACTTGATGACCTCCTGAGGTCGCTTCCATGCCTAGGATTCTATGACTAGTCTTTAGATACATAGAAGTGAAGGGCTCCCTAACCTATTACCGATTCCCTGAGCCTTCCACGTGCTGTTATGACATATCCCCTCTTCATATTGAAGGATTACTGTATCTGACCCACTTACCCGTTTGGGTGGCACGACTGTTTGTTTGCTCTGAGCTTTGTCTAGCAGGTTTGACACTCCAAAAGGAGTCCGCTTTCCTTGGCATACATAACTACGGTGCAGAAGAGCATAGTATTGTATGAAAGGTGCAGAATACACCTTAAAAGGTCCAGTTCAGTGACACTCTCGTGTTTCTTTGCACAATAAAGGACACTGACGCTAGTTCTGTTGCCATTTTGAATGGTTATAAATGATCTGGCACCTTTTCACTAGCTTGGCTTTTGCCAAAATTTTGGAAGATCATCTTCCCTCCAGGAAGCTGAATCCAGTTGTGACTCTTGAGAGCCCATAGAATGGGGCCTACAAAGGCATCCCCAAAAGACGCTGACATTGAGGTCTCGTCTGTTTGGAGACATTGACTGGAACAAAAATGCAGAGCAAGCTATTCTGCAATGGCTGTTTCAGAATAGCTCCCCATGGGTTTATCCCTATTATGCTGGGGATCGATGCTACAGCGATCGATCCGCTGGCTGTTGATTTATCACGCCTGCTTAGACATGATAAATCAGTCTCCAAGTACTCCGCCCGTCGATGCCAGTACTGCTCTTCTTGTCCTGGTGGTGTTGGCATTGATGGGAGAGCAGCCCTTGCTTACCTTACCTACCACACACAAGATGCCGTAGTAAGTACATTGACTTCAGCTTCACTATTTGCGTAGCTGAAGACACGTAGATTAGCTTGACAGTAGGGGTTAGTGTAGACTAGGCCCATGTGGACACACTTCTGGATTAAAACTCATTTTATTCTGAAATGATTAGTGCACTTCCAAACCTAAGCAGTTATTTTAGAATAAAATCATTTTTATTCCAGAATAGCCTGTGGAATAGGACACCACAATAGATTTTTTTCCCCCTGTGTAGACAAACCTTCAGAGTAGTTTGTATCACTCTTCCTAAATTTACCCTCCCCCCCCCCCTTTTTTTTTGGGCATGCTTTTTTACAGTGAAATATTTTAAATGTCAACAGTGTTAATTATCAACATTGGCATCTGAGTTAGTGCCTTCTGAAATGAATGGGGACAGTTCACAACTCAGAGCTATTGTTTCAGACTTTCTGCAAATTCAGGGAAATGTGGCTAGATTGGTTACATTCAGGTCATGTTGTCAAGGTTTTCTTCATAACCGTAAAGCTAGAGATGCACTTCTAATTTTTAAATGCAAGCTGTGATTGTGAGGAACAGTAGAGACTAGAACAGTTCTCACCCACTCTGGCAAATCGTTTGGGTTCTCCCTGCGCTTTGAGAATCGCTACCCTAACCCTTTGATTTATTTTGGGATACACTTTTATTCTCTAAAGCTTGTTTCTAGTAACCACTAACTAACTCTTATTGTATTTTTTTTCCCTGTCTTTTATAGGTTGTAGCTACTGGTGCAATAACTGGGTCTGCCTTGCATGCTTCCATTGTGTTGTTTCCTAATTGAGAACTTGGACAATCACCTCTCCCTTAAAAACAAAACAGCTACTAAAATGTTTAACCCTTGGGACATAACCAACACTTTACAAATTCCTCTCTTGTCTTTTTCTCTTGGTGTGGGCTGTTAGCTTGAATAATGATGCTTGTCTTCAAGAAAAACTGCTATCAACTAACTATATGGCCATTTGTATTCACTTCTGAATCATTTCAACAGGCTGTAACTTCTTCCTCAAAATGGTCTTGTGATTACTGTCTAACTCCTACTACCAGCTGATTAGCAAGGCATAAACAAGAGAAATGGCACTCTGGATTGTATAGTTGTGGGTTGTTTTGTTGTTGCTAAATGTTGTCTTGGGTTGTGTGCATTCTGCAAGCCTCATCCAACAAAAAATGACACAAGCCACTAAAGCCAGGTCTACACTAGACCCGGCAGCTCGGCTTAAGGTACACAGCTGCAGCTACGTAGAATATGTAGCTGGAGTAGGCTTACCTTAAGCCGAGCTTGGCAGCATCCCCACAAAGCAGGAGACCAACAGGAGCAAACACTCCTGTCAGCTTCCCTTTCTCCTGGCAAGCGCAGGAGTACCAGACTCTGGCAGGCATCCCCTCCAAGTTCGATTTAGTGAGTCTTAACTAGACTTGCTAAATTGAGCTCTGGAAGATCGATCGTGGCAGTGGGATGTTCCGCGGAGTGAAGACATGGCCTGAGAGTCCTTGGGTTACACCTCAAAATCATTATTGCTGTGCTGTGTAACTCTTGAATGTTATAGTTTCACAGGCCCAAATGATGATTGGGAGCTAAGTACTGAAAGTTAGAGAGGAAAGTTCCTACTTACCGTTTGTGTCTTTGAAAAATCTCCCTCCTAAGCCCGAAGGACCAGAGCCATCTTCCGTTCAAACCAGTAACATTTTGTCATTGACTTGAATGGGAACTGGTTGAGCAGTTCAGTGACTGAGAGTTTGGTGTTCGAAGGGTCTTGCCTCCTGTAATGTAGTGTGGGGACCTTGCTGGTTGCTAAGCTTGGGTTGTGAGTGACCTCCACTGGCTGCTGTCTGCAGCATGGCCCAGCAGGGCAGGGAATGAGTCATTATGCAAGGGAGTTAAGAGCCTGTCTGATCAGTCATCTCCCAGGGAGCGGAACAATGGGAAGAAGGGGAGTGGAGCCCTGGCTGGGGGGAGGGCTGGAAGTGAGTGAGTTAGGTTTCTGGCTGGTATCATGGAGGAAGCAGCCTAGGCAACGGGCTGGGATTTAGGGGCCCATGCTCCCCCATCTCAAGGGGGGCTGAGGCATCCTAGGCCTGCCCTGTAACCAGATGACACCTGTGCTGTGCTGTATCCTGGAGAAGCAATAAACTCCCTCTATTCTACTGGCTGGTGGAGTCTGTTCGTGCCATTACGGGGGTGTAGGGGACGGGAAAACCCCAACGCGCCGTCACACCTCCTCATTTCCACTTAGCGAGCTCTTGGCTTTTCAGATTACAGAACAGGAAAGATGCAAGTTTCCTTGCTCAGGGTGTGACTGTTAGAAACACCACAGAAGTGCAGCTGCAGCTTCCATGCTGTACCATAGACCCGACAGTGATGGAAGTAAAGCCACCTCTCAGGGCATGTCTTCGCTACCTGCCGGATCGATGAGCTGTGATTGATCTAGTAGCGGTTGAGTTGTTGCCTCTAGTATAGATTCAGTAAATTGACTGCTGGACGGTCTCCCGTGAACTCTGGGACTCCATGGGAGCCAGAAGAGTTAGTCCCCAGCTAACCTTGGGCTCCACGTGGCACTTTTGCCTTTAAAGTGTAGCAACAACCTTTGGGTTGTTTCTACACCTCAAAAAGTGGATGCGCCCTATCAACTAATCGAGTAGTTGATGCAAAATGCATTGACTATTCAGTTAGTCAGTTGCCTGTAATTTAACATCCCTAATCTAAGTACATCAGCTTCAGCTACATTATTCATATGGCTGAAGTTGCATAACTTAGATCGACAGCCCGCGCTGTGTCGACAAGGCCTTAGGGGCAGTAGCTCGATGGATGGAAGAGTTCTTCTGATGCAGTTCTGAGCGATGTCGTGAAGTATAGTGTAGAGCAGCCCTCAATTAGGGAACAGTTGTAATTCCTTGTGGCTTCTCCCTTCCCTCCACACATGCACGCAGGCCCAGGAACAATGCAGCCATATGAACATTGCTTGTAACTTGGCTTTGCTAATAAGGGCGCCTATTCAGCTTTAAATTCTACTGTTTCAATACAAGTAGGTGTGTAAGAGTTTTGCTGAATTGAGCTGTAGCATAGCATACTTAAAGTGCTAAGCTTTTTTTTTGTTTGTTTAAAACTTGTCTCCATGGGGGGGACACTGGATAAATTAATCAGAATTGAAAACTTTTCTCTGGGAAAATGAGTTCATGGTCTGATTTCAGTGGAAACGATTGCCGTGCATTAAACCTCTGTGTGGACACACTCATTCGGCAGGGTTAAACTAAACTAAAGTAAAGCTACTTCAGTTTGGAATGGGAGTGTCCACTCTGGGGTTTAAACAGTTTAACACATCCACTTTACGTTCACACCTGTAGTTAATTCAGATTAACATTCCTGAGTGCCCCTTATAGACCAGCCCTTATAAATCGTGAGTGCTAACCACCTTTGTAGTGTAGCAGGCTATGAAACAGCAGCCGTCGGGTGATCTGTTTCAACCTTTCAGGAAACACAAAAGATCTCTAGTGAGTATGCTCTCTGCAGGTGAATGTCTCCCTTTAGATCCATGATATTACATTTCCAAACAGCCAGGTGCCTCAGTACAGTCCTGTGCAGCCAAAGAAAGCCCCCTTCAATAGTTAACTCATTTTGGCACCTGCGTTTAATCATCTGAGATGTTTTGTAAATTGAGCCTTTCTGGTTAGTACTAACAGATCTTTAGCAAATATAGGAAGATCTTTTCCGCTGAACCCTTGTTACGGTCTGCAGAGAAAAGAAGGTGGGTTTTTAAATCTGATTTAATTAACCTTATTAATGCAATCCTTTCCCTGTTAGAAATTGACCTTTCTAGGTAATTTGCCTCCTTCCATCTTAGCAATGGTTCTCCCAGGTTTCTATTCATTTTCTCCCTACGCCAGTTACGGGCAAATCTAATTTTTTACCTTTGATCCATCTGGGCAGGGGAGAGTTCTGTTTTGGGAGGGAGATTTTCAAAAGCATAAAGAGCAGCTTGGTTTCCAAAACCCATTCACATTTTGGACCCCATCTTGACTTCTCTCCCCTCTTTTGAATCCTTTCCCCCCAAATTTACTTCTCTTGAAGCAGAAAAGAATAGTGCTGTGGAGAACCTATCCTGAAAAGCATTGGGAATAAGGACTTCAGGATCAAGCGCTGTTATCAACGCTCATGGTATTTGTAGATGGCTTTATTTTAAACTTCTTTGTTGGATGAGCTTGCATTGTGCTTTATTGCAGAGCCTAACATTGATTTCCTTTATAGGACTCTTTATAAGGGCTGTTCATAGGGCTCTTTGTACGACAAATCCAAAATAAGAAAAGAAATGCATAATTTTTTCCCCTCCCTTCCCCACTCTTTTCAGCATTAACAGTAGCAAAGTTGTTCTCCGTTTTGAAAGATTTGGCTTGGGAATCCTGGAATCGAGTAACCAAAAGATCTAGCGTGGTTTGTAATTCTCTTGTTGATATTGTTGTCTGCCTGCTCACACAAACCATCAGAAACCTTCACGGCATCTTCTTCTGAACTATGAAACTGGTGCAGCCCGTACCTGCAAGCCACACGACCCTCCTTTCAAACTGTCTTGCGTTGTTTCTGAAGTCTGCATTCTACCTGAACACCAGCAATTATTTAAAAAAAATGTTTACATCATATGTTTCTCTATGTGAACTATATCTTTAATAATAAAGGTGATTTAAAGGGGTTTTCTAAGTGCAAGCATTCAGATGGCACTGAAAAGTACTGCTCCCCGTGCTCGATTGCATCTGTGGAGTAACTAAGGGCTAACTCCTGCACTGCGCATCTTGTACACCATTTCCACTGAAGCTAATAGAGGTTGCACATCTGTCAGAGAGAACTGCTAGCTTTAAATCACGAATGCAGCCAATTCAAGTGAGAGGGAATGAAGTGAAAGCTCCATGGTGTCTCCATCAGGAAACTTACAAAAACGTTGACTGTATTGAAAAGAAATGCATGAATTGGGCTATGGTTTGAGCAAGTTAATACACTCTTGATTACTGATCTTCTCTGGAAACGTCCAACCGTGGGCTGGTTCTAATCTCTTACTGGCAGCCCATCTGGAATACTTACGAGTCCAGATTTACGCAGAGACCCAAATCCTGCCCTTTTGTCATGCATGTTGATGAGGGTTGGAACCCTTTTTTTTTTTTTTAAGCACAGTTCATTCATTCCTAGACTAGCAGGGGGATGGGATTTTCAAAAAGAACCTTAAAGTTAAGCAGCAGCATCTCATTGGCTTTCAAAGAGAACTGGGCACCTTCATTCTTTAAGGATTTTTTCCTTTTAAATCTCAGCTTTACAGTCTTACAAACTGATCCACAGTAATCAGAGCTGCCATCTGCCTATTGCAGCCCAGAATGTGGGACTTAAGTTCCTCCTCCATTGTAAATGGAGTCCCATTGTAAGCAGGTTCCACAACAGTTGAGGAGGGATCTCTGAGCGGGGAGGGGAGACCCATAAGTTGAGTGTGGGCTGCTGGAATAGACCCTGGGAAAGCCGAAGAGAAGAAGGATGTTGAAGTAGGGAAGTGAAAGTTGAGGAGGGCCAGGGGTATTGTGTCTAGGACTTAAGTTCCTCCTCCATTGTAAATGGAGTCCCATTGTAAGCAGGTTCCACAACAGTTGAGGAGGGATCTCTGAGCGGGGAGGGGAGACCCATAAGTTGAGTGTGGGCTGCTGGAATAGACCCTGGGAAAGCCGAAGAGAAGAAGGATGTTGAAGTAGGGAAGTGAAAGTTGAGGAGGGCCAGGGGTATTGTGTCTAGCGAACTGTGCACAGTCTGTGCTAGAATTCAGTTTAACGTGGCTGGGGAGGTGGG